TTTATTTATGTCAATTATACCAGATAAAATTCCCATAGAGAGAGAGAGAGGAGACGGGGAGAGAATCTTAAACAGGCTGTGAGCACAGCTGATCTCACAACCCTTTGCCAAAATCAAGACTTGGCTGCTTAACCGACTTAGCCACCCAGTCTCCCCAAAATATATATTTTTAAATATTTTGTTTATTTATTTATCTGAGAGAGAGAGAGAGTGAGAGCACAAGCGAGGAAGGAGCAGAGGGAGAGAGACAAGCAGACTCCACGCTGAGCACGGAGCCTTATGTGGGACTTGATCCCACAAACCCAAGATCATGACCTGAGCTGAAATCAAGAGTCAGATGCTAGGGACACCTGGGTGGTCTGTGGGTTAAGCCTCTGCCTTCTGCTCAGGTCATGATCTAGGACCTAGGATCTAGGTCCTAGGATCAAGCCCCGCATCAGGCTCCTTGCTCAGGGGTGAGCCTGCTTCTCACTCAGCCCCTCTCCCTCTTGTGTGTGCGCGCACGCACCCACTCTCTCAAGAAAATAAAATCTTAAAAAAATTATTTCTGACATGAGGAGAAATAAGAGCTTAGCAGTTTATCCTAGAATGTGTTACAATTAGAAGTGTGCAAAATGACGGTAATTTAGGTCACATAAAGCTGCATAAATAAATAAAACAGGTTACAATCTAATTGGAAGATCGTTATTAGTAATCACAATTTTTTCTCTGTGTAATACGTCAGGCTTCATAAAAATAATTTGTATAACAAAATACTTCATGGTGAATTTTTTCCCAAGTTTTTATTTAAATTCCGGTTAGTGAAGGTGCAGCGTCATCCTGGTGTCAGGAGGAGAATTTAGTGATTCTTCTCTCCCGTACGACGCCCCGGCTCATCCCCGCAGGCGCCATCCAGCCCATCCTCCGCCCGGCCCGGCCTCCGCCCGCTCCCTCCACCGTCGAGCCCCACGGAGAGCAGAGACGTCCTTTCGGGAGATGCTCGGCGGCGGGTGCTCGGCGGCGGGTGACAGGGACAGTCCCTCCCCGGGAAGCCCCGGCGAGAGCCCTCTGGTCCGCGGTCTTCGCTGCCACCTACCGGCCGTGGTCGCAATAGGCACGCGAACTGGCCCTAAAATCAACGAGGACAACCTCTCGCTCTCCAGCATCCGCGGTCAGAACGACCTAGCCGCGCGGGGAACCGGCGGCGCCAGCCTGGACGCAGACGCCCGCTCCTGCAGCCCGGAGCCCGGGGAGGGAGGCTGCGGCCGGTTCCCACGCGCATTCGCTCCGCAGGCCTTGCACGCCGGCCCCTCCAAGGAAGGAATGTATTTCTTCAAGGTCAAGGACACAGGATAACCTCTCATCAGGAGACCTCACACTGCAGCCTCCCAACGTCTAATAACGTCTGCTTCAGTCCCTACTGTCATGACGCCCTCCCCGGCCGGTCTGTAGAGGGGCAGAGAAATGCGTGTGATACACAGACGGACCGCGGCAGCCAAGGGGACGGCTACATTGTAGCACATGCCGTGGGAAGAACACAGGACGGTAACAATAAATGCGGAAACTACCTCGTACTCAAAAACCTGGGTGCATTTCAGCAACAAAGTTGAGTGGGAAAAAGCAAATCCAGGAAGACCAGCTTCTGTACATTATTCTTCTGTTAAAAAAAAAAAAGGCAGAACTAAACAACATATTCTTATGTCGCATGCACACTTCTTTAATAGAATTACGTTTTAAAGTAATGATGAGCTAGGATTTGTGATGCTGGTTTTCTCCAGGTGAAGAAGCTGAGAGACGAGTTCTCAGGGGCGCGTCTACGGAGATGCAAAGGTCATGGGATATTATCAATATCCCATTTCTGGGAGATGATAAGGGGTTCCTTTTTTTTTTTTTTTAGGGGTTCCTTTTTTTATCTTTTTTTTTTTCAAAATAAATTAACAAATAAGTATGTAATTAAAGAGAAACATAACTGGACCAATTTATGAGAGTGTCAGTACAATTCTGCACTTGCAAGTAAAATTATTAAAGGGAAAGAAATCGAGCATGTTAACAACTCATGTCTCTGGATATTGGAAGTATCCTTTTTAAAAGCATTTTATTGGCCCTGTATTTTATAATTACCCCATGATGAATGTCTACATCTTAATAAAATTCAAACTGTTTTTCATGCTAACAATCTTTTTCTTTTTTAACCCATAACAGAGGCATGCACTATTCAGAAATCTGGGAGAAAAGGAGGATGTGTGGCAGAGAGAGAAGGGGAGAAGCCAACTAGGAAAGAGGAAGCCAAGGGCACGTGGGGTTTCAAGGCCGTGGTGTGAATGGCTAATTCCATCTCCGGCCGCAGGGTGGGACTTAGAGGAGTGAAGATGGACTGCTGACGGACGGACCCAAATCACTGCGGAGTCTGGCAAGAGCTGTTTTAGTGACGCGGTGTGGGGAGAAGGCCTGAGTGGGCGGCTAAGAAAACAGCCTGGAAGAAGTGAAAACGTGTGTCCTCACACCTGCGTTCTCCAACCTCGTGTCCCCTCTACATGTTGAAAGACATGGGCTTTGGGCACTTTTTGGTCTGGATGAAGATACAGGAGATCTCCCTGTCCTATTTCTGCAATTTCCTGTGAACCTATAGTTATTTCAAAAACAGACAAAACAAAACTGTACTCGGGTGATTCCCAGCATAAGAACCAATGACGAAGGGGCAGCTTCTGGAGAGTCTTAGAATTTAGAATGTCTTAGAATCCCTCTTTCAGAGGAGGGCAGGAGCCCACTTCCAGCCTTCGGATTCAGTAGGTTTGGGCCTGATTGTTATTTAATTTCTTTTAAAAAAGATTTTATTTTTTCATTTAAGAGAGAGAAAGGAGTGGGGGGGACAGAGGGAGAAGCAGACACTCCGCTGAGCAGGGAGCTCAATACAGGGTTCGATCCCGATCCCTGGACTCCAGGATCATGACCGGCGTTGAAGGCAGTCACCCAACCGCGTGAGCCACCCAGGCGCCCTGATGTTTAACTTCTAACACGGATCACAGCCGTGTGGACGCAGCTGGTAGAGGACCACACCCAGAGGTTAGGAAAGGTTGCTCATCCCTGACCCACTCCCCCCCTTCCCAAATCCCAATCGTGTCCTGGAGGCATGGAGATACCTGAGGGGCCGGGGGAAGCGGATCTCTGGGAATATAGGGAAATGTTCATCCTCTTTTCGTCCTCCACATGCTAGGATCTCCCGGAAGACCTGTAACGCTCCCAGTGCCTGGGCCACACCCCACACCAGCCAAATCCTTCTCTCTGGGTGTGGCCCCCACGCACAGGTGGGGTTTTTTGTTTTTTTTTTTGTGGGGTTTCTTTGTGTGTTTTTTTTTGTTTTTTTGAAGTTGGCTCCAGCTTGCTGCCAGATTGGGAAACTGGACTACAAAGAACCTTTGGGTGAGGCTCACTGGCGGGCGTCCCTAAGATACACAAGCAGGGCGTCCCAGGAAGACATTTTCTAGGTCTGGTGAAGGAAATCAGGCTTCATTGCCAAGCGGAGAACGGCCTCATGGACTCTGCTCCAAGACTGCTCAGGGCCTCAAGTCTGGAGGAGACTCGAGTCTGCACACGTACACTGGGTCGTGTACCGGGCACCCGCCCCAGGGAAGGACCTTAAACCCTCCTCCCTGGAAACGGGACTTTTGTAAATGGACCCCATGTAGGAAGGGACAGACTCAGAGCCCTGAAGGTTACTGGACCCAAAATCTGCTTTTCTCAAAATTTCCCAAGAGCAGAAGCATCCGTATCCCTTGGAGATTTCTTAAAAGTGCAGATTCTCGGGACGTCAAAAACAAGATCAGAGAAACTCACTACCAAGGAGTCTGAGTTTAAGGAAGCAGAAAGAGTGGGATCCTGACGGTGGGGGAGGGGGGCGTGGAGACACAGGATATTACAGGGAAAGCAAGGAAATCACTCAAGTACCGGCCTTTGAGAGTTAATAAACCGGTAGACAGATGTGCCATCCTAACACACAAGGTTAATAGAGGAAATGCTGTGGGACACAGGGGGTTGTGAAAACTATTCTGAAACTCAAGTTCCTTAAAATGCAGGTTCCCAGGCCCCGCCCCAGAGCGGAGCGTGGGCCGTTCACCTACAGCTTCACAGAGCCTCCAGGCGGTGTCCGTGTCCCTCAGTTAAGGTGTCCTACTGGTGGCTCCGAATGCTTCCAGAGTCCCCGTGGGAAATGACAGGTCACCCAACTTAGCAACGATTCAGGGTGCAGAACACAAAGCGGTTCGGACAGGCAGAGCATGAAGGATTTTAGGGCAGAGGAACTGCTCCGCGTGAGACCCTCACGGTGGGTCCCCGTCCTGCGTCTGTCTAAACCCAGGGAAGGGGCAACACTGAGTGACCCCTCATCCCTAGGCTTGGGGGACAATGACATCAGCGGGGCCTCATCACTTTTGGCCTGGGGGTGCCGATGGTAAGGGAGGACGTGTTTGTGTGGGGAAGGGGCGGAGGGGTCCTCTGGGAAAATCTGGACTTCTGCTGTTTTGTGAATCTGAAGCTGCTCTAAAAAAAAAGTCTTTTTTTAAAAGTTGCTCAGGAATATGATAAATAAATCAGAATGTGTCTATACTTAAAACGGGTCCATCTGAAATTCAAACTTCACTGGGTATCTCCTTTTTAATCTGGCCACTCGGGGCACCTGGGAGGCTCAGTCATTGGGCGTCTGCCTTCGGCTCAGGTCATGATCCCGGGGTCCTACGATCGAGCCCCGCACTGGGCTCTCTGCTCGGCAGGAAGCCTGCTTCTCCCTCTCCAACTCTCCCTGCTTGTGTTCCCTCTCTCGCTGTGTCTCTGTCAAATAAATAAAATCTTAAAAAAAAAATCTGGCCACCCTACTTGGACTATCCCACCTTATAAGGAAATAAAGGATAACAGGAAGACAATCTGCAGCCATGATTTTATTAGGAAATGTCGAAAATAAGACTGGCCTTCATTGAGAGAATAGCAACATAAACCAAAAAGCTTATGACAATGGGACACGATGAGACCGATGAGACTTTGGAAAATGAAAACCAATAGGGAAGACATCATCATTCCAAGATCCTCATAATTAACGTTCACGGGACAGCTGCTGTGTTCCGGAAACCTTGTAAGTGCTCGAGATGTCCTGTCATTTTTCCAAAATCGGGGACAAAACACCCTTAACCTCTTTCTCAGGGCAGAAGGGACTTGGACCCGGTCGCCTTGTCTGCAGAATCATCAGGAAGTCACTTCGCGTGGGTTTTTTGGTGGCGTTTGAAAGTTCCCAACTGACGAAAGGCACCGTGGCACTCGGGACACGTGTAGGGTTTCAACCCAGAGTGGGTGCGAAGGTGGACGTTGAGGTTCCCCTTGTGGCTGAAAGCTTTCCCGCAGTCCGCACACGCGTAAGGCTTCTCCTTGGTGTGGACCCGGCGGTGGCTCCGAAGGGTGGAGTCATGGGTGAAGGTCTGGTGGCAGAGCTCACAGGAGTAGGGCTTCTCCCCGGTGTGGATTCGCTGGTGCACGTGGAGGTCCGAAGTCTGCGTGAACGCCCCCGCGCAGACGTCGCATCTGAACGGCCTCTCTCCCGTGTGTGTCCTCCAGTGAACGCGAAACTGGGATTTGTAACGAAACCCTCTCTTACAGATGCTGCACACGGTTGGTGTCTGTCCCGTGGCTTTCCCCCCAACAGGATGGACCGAGCTGGACGCAGGTTGAGCTGAAACTTCTCCTTTGTCCAAATACAGGGTCCCTCCTTGAGGTACTTCTTCGGAAATGGAGGTGTTGTCCAGTTTTCTTCTTTTGGGATTTCTTGGGCTTTTCTGAGAATCTCTTCTGTTCCCACTCCGAGGGGAAATTGGTGTCTCTGAAACGTGGGTGGAGGGTCTGTCAGCGTGCACGTCTGTAATATGGGCTCCTTCTTGGAGAGTCTTTCCACCCTTTGCCTTCATGGAATCTGTTGAAAGAAAGATTAACACACAACACTTAACAAAGAGCATTTTCAATGATACCAACCTCCTTTGGACCAAAGGCCGCTGTGGGTTGAGAACTTCCCATCAACTGATGGACCTGGGATAGCCTTGTACATAGGACACTGAGGACAGTCAGGGATGGAGAAGGATTGGTATTTCAGGGTTCCCTTCCCCCAAGAGATGTCAGTGCTGGATCCCCACCCCCACTTCCCAGCTGAGGAATAGACACTAACTCCTCTGAATTCCCAGTTTCCAGGCTCACCAGGACCTTCCAGAAGCTGAGGCTCTTGGAATTTCAGTATTGTCCTCTCTTCCGGATCTTCCATCAGATTCTCCTTCAGGTTCCCCTTGGGTCTCCGACTCTCCTGTACACCTTTTCCAGGAATGGTCTCCAGCAGGAGAACGTTCTGTGCCTGGCAATGGGCAAACACGTGTAGTTACCAACGTGCCTAACTTGGGGCGTGGGAAGCGTCTCTGCTTTCCCCATCCTGCCCACCGCCCTAATCTGAGACACCAACTCTCTCAACATGACAGTGTTGTGGATGTGCCCACACTTCCTTTGGGCCACTCATCACTCCCCGTCATCAATCAGTACCCAGCACACCTTTAAATCATGTCCATACATCACAGCCCTTATGCTTAATTCTCTAAGCACTCCTCAGGTCACCTGGCTTCCTCTGGCCAACCCAGGAAGCAAGGTGGCTCTGGGTCCAGGTGTCGCTGCTTATCACCACTGATATTTTGTGGGATGACTCCCTGTTTGGGGCTCTCCTGTGCATTGTGGAATAACTGATCATAGCGGCATTCCTGGGTTCCGCCCACTCGATGCCATCCCATCCTCCAACCCCACCTGCATTCTGACAACTGAAACGGTCTTGGGACATTTGCAAAAGTGTTATAGAGGCAAAACAACTCCAGGTGAGAACCACTCCCTTAGGCAGAGGGACAAAGGCTGAGGAGTCTTCCTTCTCCACAGAGGCTCAGAGATGTCTACAGGCTCGATGCATCCATGGGGATTCCATGGGCCAATGGGTGCACTTCTGTGCTCTGCCACTGTCCCAGTTATTCCGCAGCTACACCCACCACCGCTTCTAGTACCTTCTGCCACTGCTCCCTCGAGATCGGGAAGGGCCTCACACTCACCTGCCCGGCTGATGGCTTGTCGACTCCTGGCAGATTCTGCAGCTCTCTGCTGACCTCACTGTCCTCTGGACGTGTCTCACTCACGGAAGATTGGGGCTTCTTGGACAAGTCTGCCACAAGGTCCATGTCACTGACCTCCGCTCCAGCCATCTGAGCATCTGAACTTCGTACAAGAAATTCCTGTCCTTGTAAGGTGACTATGGTCTGTGGGGGCAAGAGTCAACCAAGATCAGACTCACTCGAACCAGAATGGAGCTCTGAGCTCCCTTGATAAAACTACCGCACACTCATACTTTGTCGGAATTACTGGTTTCAAAGGCAGCCTCCCAAGGTGGTGGGGGACTTACCCACCGCCCTCTTGTGTTGGACAACCACCGGCCTACCCACAATATCTAATCAACATCAACACCTCCCCATGTCCCACCACCACTCAGCTAATACTCAGCCCTCATGAGTCATCCTAAGGCACGCCTTGTCCACTCCTGACTTCAGCATTCGAGATGGAGCACAGTGAGAAATCAACACCAGGCCCCAGTGAGACGTCACACGTGTGGCTTACATCTCACTGGGCCGGTCTTAAGAATCCCCTTTATCTGTCATTCCAGATGACCATCTTCCAGTTCCCATGGCTATTTTCCCACCACCTTGTCGAATGCTTATAATTCCCGTTCTCCACTCACCCCTGGAGAATTTCATCACCTCCCAGAGTGCTCAGGCAAGGAGGACTGCCATGTTTGATCTAATTCCCTCCTGTCCACTTACAAGATTACCTACAGAGCTCATCTCCCCATGGCTGGTGCTACACCAGGTCGCATTCCCCTCCTAGATCCTTTGGACCCTTGTTTTTTCTACAAAGCGTACAGGTGCACGCCAACCACCATGATGGAAAGTGTCCCATTGTAAGGTCTTAACCTGGTCAGGAGAGTCTTAACTGTGAGCTGGAGGGACATCCAGCAACCACCAGAGATTTTTTGTTTTTGACTTTCCCAGCTGGGGGTGGTTGCCGTTGACATCAAGGATGGCGCTAACACTATGATGCCCAGGAAAGCCCCAAGGTTGGTCCATCCCAGTATCACTAGTAGATTTGAGAGACCTTCATAGAGTCGAAAGCCTGCTGTCCCAGCCCCCTTCCTTCCTCAGCATCATGCCAGGACTCTAGTTACCATGGCAACATAGCGCACCAGGTACTTCACCCAAGTAGGACCACTTTTAAGAGGGTCTCTAGAGATGTCAAGAATTGCAAATGTAATGGACTGGACTGGTTTCCGGCTCCTTCCTCCTGGAGCCCCTGGAATGCCCCTTAGGCAGCTGTCCCCACCAGAGGTCGGACAGGGTGAGTGACAGTAAAGTTCATAGACTCCTGAAACCGACCAAATGCCAGTGACCTCCCTCTCCTCCCTGTCGTGACAGCTGGAAAGGTCTCTAGACACTGCCGAGTGTCTCCTGAGGGGCAAACCGTCTTCCCCGTGGGAACCACTGACCAAGAAGGCCCCCATGTCCTCTCTAGTCCAAGGGCACCTGCAGCCCCCACACCAGGTCCCCCTTCCCATCAGGAAGGCCTTGCTCACCCAAGTCTTGGGGGTCTTGTTGCTTCTCAGCAGGTCCCTCAAGTCCTCGCAGCTCCGCACACCACTTTCCTTGACTAGGACCTGAAGCTCCGGGGGCATGGAGATCAGGAACTGCTCCAGCACCAGCGCGTCCAGGATCTGCTCCTTGGTGTGAAGGTCTGGCCGCAGCCACAGGTAGCAGAGCTCACCGAGCCTCCTCAGGTCCTCAAGGGGGTCTGATGTCTCCGAGCCGGTAAAAGCCCTGAAGCTCAGGTGCCACGTCTCACAGTCGCTGTCTTGCATCCCGTTGCCTCGAGTCCCGTCGTGGGCTCCTTGCGACGGAATAGACCGCCGCAGCTCTGTCTCCGGGCTGCCTTGGGGTTTATCCTGACCCCCTGAGAAGTTCTGGTCTGTAGCCATATAGACTGGAGAACTTTCCCGTATGACTCTGAAGACTTTCAAGAAGCTGGTGCCTAATTAAGAGCCACCTAAAGGGATTGACTCCAGTTTTCCTCAGCAACAGACGCGCTGTTCGTTCAGAAGTCTGTGGGGAGGATGAACCAGATTGGTTTAACTTCTTACCACCCCCTTCCCTCCAAACCCTTCACCCCAACACTAACACCGTCCCCCACTCATACAGTATTTAATACTGTGAAAAGGAACCCCACTATTATTTTTCCAATATTCACATTTATAGTAAAAGGTGGTTTACATGTCTGAAGGGCCCCTAGATTCCAAGCTCTAAACGTACAGAGGTGGGCTCAGTCTTCTCATCTGTAAGTTGGGACAATGTCATCCTTGACTATAAATTATATGTAACTACGTGTAAAACTCCTGTAACTAAGGGGTGCCTGGGTGGCTTGGTGGTTTAAGCCTCAGCCTTTGGCTCAGGTCAGATCTCAGGGTCCTGGGATAGAGCCCTGCATCCGGCTCTCTGCTCAGCAGGGAGCCTGCTTCCCTGCCCCCTCTCTGCCTGCTGCTCTGCCTACTTGTGACCTCTGTCTGTCAAATAAATAAATAAAATCTTAAAAAAAAAAAACCTCCTATAATTGAATTTTAACGATGTCGGTCTTTCTATCTTTCCACCAGGACAACCTACAAGGCAAAACTGTATTAGTTAAAATTCTGCAGAATACAGAAAAATATTTACAACCTGAGAATTTCATGTGGTGTGGGAACATCACAAGTATTAATTAGAAGTATTAATCTAAGATCGTCCCCTGACACATTTCCTTGTTGGTCCCGGGATATTGCTTTGTTCCAGGAAGGGGATTCGAAAGAACCCTAACAGGATTAACAAATATTCCTTACTGTCGTGAGATACACACAACACAAAACTCACCATTTCAACTCTTTTAAAACACACAAGTTTGCGGCACTATCACGTTTGCAATGCTTTACAACATTCATCTGTGTCTCCTTCCAGAACTCAATCATCCCCCGCCCAAAGGAAACTCTGTCCCTCCCCCTTCCCTGGCCACACCCACCCCCAGGGGATCCGTTAATCGCTTCTCCCTCTCTATGGGTTAAACACTTAATCTCATCCAAGAAAATGGATTAAAAATCCAATGCCCTTTGAAATTTTCAAAGGCCAAGGGTCAACCTGAGGACGGTGTGGAAGACTGGGGGTACTCGGCAGGGCACTGAGAGCCACATGGTCCCCAGATAGAGGGGCTTTTTTTTTTTAAGATTTTATTTATTTATTTGACGGACAGAGATCACAAGCAGGCAGAGAGGCAGGCAGAGGGAGAGGAGGAAGCAGGCCCCCCGCTAAGCAGAGAGCCTGATGAGGGGCTCGATCCCAGGACCCTGGAATCATGACTTGAACCAAAGGCAGAGGCTTTAACCCACTGAGCCACCCAGGCGCCCCAAGAGAGGGGCTTTAATCATGGCTGGGCTAGTAGGTTGATAAAAGAAAAAGGTCCATAGTCAGAGGTTTGATTTTTACCCCATGGACAGCAAACACCCAGCGATGTGTTTTTAAGCAACGGTGTGGGTCGTTCAGAAACCTCAGGAGAAGCATGTACCACACAGAACTCAAGGTGAACACATTTGCCTAAAACCCGTAATAGTCAACCTTTGTCCCTGCTTCAGCTCCCTGGGGAAGCCCGATCAGCTCAGCGCTGATTCGATCCCATGTTGTAGCTTTAATTAGCTGTTAGGCAAGTCCACCAGCTCTCAGAAGACCATCATCTTTCTCCATAACACGGACGAGAAAACCCAGCTCTTACCCTGTCTGAGGGTAAAATACGAGGATGCCGAGAGGACATGCCTGGCACATCTTTATGCAATGGAGTGACCAACATTTGGAGCCGTGATTCTCAACCAAGGGTGACTTGCCCTACTCCCCTGGCACCTTGGGACACTGGGCGACATCTGGAGGCATTTTCGATCGTCACAACCGGGGCATGGGGGAGGCGGGCGGCGGGGGGACACAGCTAAACACGCTGAGTGCACGGGACAGCCCCAATTCCCCTCCCCAAAACAAAACAACAACAACAACAACAAAATCACCTGGCCAAAAATACCATCCGAGGCTGAAAAACCCTGGTTCAAAGTACAAACCTCACATACCGGGGGTCAAATCACACCACAACCATTCAGAGTTAATTATGGGGTATATATAGGACAACTCTTGCTTTCACAAGACCTCGGAGCAAATGTGTAGTGGATCCAGACCCAAATCCTCCTGGCACCAATCCATGTCCCAGGTTCCCAGCACCCTCGGACGTCCCCACCTGGTGACTTGCCTCGTTCCCGAGTCTTTGCGCCTTCCTGCCTCGAGCCTCCTCGCAGCTAGGACTGGCTCTCCCACAGCTCCGTGCTGAGCACACAGCCGCTTATATAGGGCTAGAGAAAGCCCAGAATTCCAGTTACCTCAGCAGCCCAAAGATTAGTTTAAGGCCATGGAATGAACCACTTGAAGGTGGCTGTGTGGATTACATTTCCCACTGAAACTCCATCAAGAGAAAAAAAAAAAAGGAATTGGGGCGCCTGGGTGGCTCAGTGGGTTAAAGCCTCTGCCTTCGGCTCAGGTCATGATCCCAGGGCCCTGGGATCGATCCCCGCATCGGGCTCTCTGCTCAGCGGGGAGCATGCTTCCCCCTCTTTCTCTACCTGCCTCTCTTCCTACTTGTAATCTCTTTCTGTCAAATAAATAAATAAAATCTTTTAATTTAAAAAAAGGAATTTATTAAGTAAGTCTACTTGGAAACAATATTGGTTTTCCCGGTCTACTGAATTATTTATCCTATGCCTGAAGCGTTCAAAGGAGTCAGGGAATGTAGAGCGGCAAGTTTTAAGCACTTTGGGTCAAGATTTTATTTAAAATGAGCTGACGAGGCAGGGCGTAGGAAGTAGGTGTTTAGAAAGCCAGAGGTTGCACTCAAGTAGAGAAAAGTATATCATACTGTTTCGCAGGCCGAACGAGTGTTTCCTAAATGCCAAAGGCAACAGCGACCCGTCAAGCCAAGAACATGAACAGAGCTGGGAGGCTGGTATCAAACCGGTGGTTTTATCTAGCTCAGGGATGCCTGAGGAGCTCAGTCAGTTAAGCATCTGCCTTCGGCTCAGATCATGATCCCCGGGTTCTGGGATCGAGCCCCAAGTTGGGTTCCCTGCTCAGTGGAGAGTCTGCTTCTCCCTCCTTTCTGCCCGCTGCCCCCACTGCTTGTGTGCTCTCTCTCTCTGTCAAACAAATAAATTCTTTGAAAAAAATAAAAAATAAAATCTTCGGAAAAAAATCTAGCTCAAGGAAAGCTCTGACATATTAATTCTAAGGTATTGAAAAGTGAAAAGTAATTATTGATACGTAAGAATATTCGTGATTTTTTAACTCTTACTTTTATATTTTTCACTGTCTTGGGATTAATGCCTTCAAGCTTTGCTCAAACTGGGTTAAATCACCGATTTTATATACATCAATTTACCCTTTCATAAAAGCAGCAGAAACCAGACAGAAGCACGCAGACGCGGCTCTGCCTTCCTTCTCTTCCCGGGAGCGGAAGGTGGTTTTGAGGCTTCTCCGCGGACCTGCTTGTCCCCCTTAATTAGCCCTCGCAAATCCTTAAAAGCTATAACAGTGGGTCCGCACGCTACCGTGTGAAGTTTAATCAGGGTTGGGCAGGTCTGGGTTACAGTTTTGGAAGCTCTCAGAGTCCATCAAATCATAACCAATCCATTCAGATCGTGAACTTTCTTGTGTTACATTTCAGAGGAATTGGAAGGCTCCTGGCTTTGCATGATTCTCAGAGCCCAAGGGAGTCTCTAAACCTGAGAGTCCTCGTAAGCACGATGGGGGCTTTCTGCCCACCCAGACTCGTCCCTTTCATCCTGAGATCAGCGCTCGGGAGACCCGACACTAAATCTGATTCAGAACCCGACCTCTCGCCCCCTCACTGGTGCCTCTTCTAATCTTTCCGGGACCTGGACCTTTGCTGCTGCTTCTGCAGTGGTCCTTTCTGCCTTCCTGCTCTTAAGGGCTGCGTTCCCCATGGCCCTGGACCATGTGACCAGACCCCAGGCTTACACAGCAGTCCCCCTTTCAGAACCGACCCACGGTTTGCGGAACACGGGGAGGAGAAACCTTGTCCTTTCTCAGCACTCAGAGGCCTTCAGCATCTGACCTGCGGATGCTCTCCTTCCTCAGCCCCCTCCCCAGCAGCCTGGCCCGCTTCTGCTCTGGGAGTCTGACCCCTCAGTCATGCTCCGCGGTCCGGAATGCTCTGTCTGCCCCTACAGGGCTCTAACAGCATTGGCCCCGCAGATGCTCCGTAAATACTGATAAACAGATTAGACAGACAGACAGACAGATCGTTCACAAACAGATGACACGTCCAGGATTCTGCACTTTCTTAAGATCTCATTTTTTCTGCAACTGTAAATGACCTCATATAACCGAGAATGTGCTTTTCATGGGGACGAACATTTGCCAGGATAGAAAATGATAGATTTACCTTGTTTTCCTTCAGCTCCTGGAAGGTCCTTGTTGCACCGTCGTCCGCACCCAGTGTCGCCCCGGAGAGCCATGTGAGCCTTCCCGCGGAGGGGGTCTGGGGGTCTCTCTCTCTCCAGGCTTTTCTGAAATTCATTCTTTTGTGACCGGCTGTAGATTTTTCCTGTTCAGCCTGAAGAACACCACGGGTCCGAGAGCTCTTTCATCTGTAAACGTGTGAAAGTTATCTTCCTGATTTCTTACAAATATTTCTTCCTCCCCCTTCTCGTGCTCCCCTCAAGTAGGGCCTGGCCTCTTTGCACTTTCTCGCTTCTGGAAGCGTCTCTGATGCTTTGTTCCTCCTCTCTAATGTCCCTGTTGTGTCCATTCTGCCATACTCCCACCTGCCGTGTTTGTTCAGCTCCTGCATATTTTTCTTAACTAATATTCGTTGCATTTAAAATTTTTTTACCTTCTTATTTCATGCTGCTGATTGGTGTTTATTTTTATTTCTATTCCTTGGACGCCAGTTCTAACACCCCATTTCTGAAAGTAGCTGTAATCTAGCTTTTATATTCTTTGTTGACTTTTTACATTAGCTGTGTCATGGGGCGCCTGGGTGGCTCAGTGGGTTAAGCCTCTGCCTTTGGCTCAGGTCGTGATCCCAGGGTCTTGGGATCGAACCCCGCATCGGGCTCTCTGCTCAACGGGGAGTCTGCTTCCCCCTCTCTCTCTGCCTGCCTCTCTGCCTACTTGTGATCTCTCTCTGTCAAAATAAATAAATAAAGTCTTTAAAAACTAAATAAATACATTAGCTGTGTCCTTGTTTGGCCCCGTGAGTTAGTCTCCTGAACAACAGGATAGCTTCTTAGTTCTGGTAATTCTGCCGCACCTCAGCAATGTGCAGAGACGTGTTTGCTCCTCTCAGCTGGGGAGAGGCTGCTCCGGCCGTCCTGTACGTAGAGACCTGGGTACTGTTCAACACCCTGTAACGCCCCACATAGTAATGATCCCGACGGAAACGTCTGCAGTGCCGAGGCTGAACGTTGGAAGAGGGGTATTGGCTCTAGCAGACGAGCTGGCGAAGCCCTGTAAGCCAGAGACCGAACTTTTCCAGCCCCAGTGCCCTCAGTGACAGATTAATCCAAATCGCACCCACTTTGGTACAATCCTACCAAGTAAAACCTCAGATCTGGCCCCAAATTTAAGCCCCCTGTGGACACCAGAGTCAAAGGAAGCCCTTGCGACCCCTGAGGTTCTCAGCCAGCACTCACAGGGGAACAGGTGAGAGCAAATGAGCACCCCAGGGCTTTGCCCCACCCTCGGATCCTTTGGTCTGAATTACTTGGGTTAGGGTGGATTTTTTTTTTTTTTTTTTGAGCACCAGGAGATATGGAATATTATTCAGCCTTAAAAGGAAGAGAATCCCGTCACCTCCCAGGATGGGGCAGAAGCTTGAGGACGTTATGCTAAGTGAGATAATCTAGGCACAAAGGGGCAGATGTAGTGGCTGAAGACAGGAAGGGGACTGCGGTGGGGTCCTTTAACACAGGCAGAGTTTCAGATTTCAAGACGGAGAGCCCTCTCCGGTTGGTGGATGGTTGCACAGCGTGACTGTGGTCTATGCCTCTGAACTGGACCCTGGACCCTGAAACATGGCTTCGATGGGACACTCAGGGGCGTCTGTCTGGGTGGCTCGGTTGGCTATGGCACCTGATTCTTGGTCTCTGCTCAGGTCCTGACCTCGGGGTCCTGGGATCGAGCCCCAAGTCGGGCTCAGCAATCAGCGCAGGTCTGCTTCTCCCTCTCCCTCTGACCTTCCCTCTGCCGGCGCCCTCTCTCTAAAATAAATGAATAGACCTTTAAAAAAAATTGGTAAATTTCATGTTACATGCATTTGTCGCAACTTAAAGGTTTTTATTTAATTAAATTTTTTAAGATTTTATTTTTAAGTAATCTCTACGTCCAACGTGAAGCTCAAACTCACAACCCTGAGATCGAGAGTCACATGCTTCAGGGAAACTTGATTAAGGAGGGACCACCGCCCTCTCCTTACTCACGTGGGTCCCTCCCCTGAGCTCTGGGCAGGCAACAGTCTCCACTCATTACGGTTCAGTCATTCGTCAGCACGTGTGCAGGGTGATTTGCTCCTGGAAGGAAATCCCTCCCGCTTTCCAAGGACCCACCCCGCTTGCCCAGCCCCCTGCTGGGGAGGTGTGGGGGCAGCTCTAGGGCTCTGGTCCAGCCTCCCCCTCACTCTGCACACAGCCTACAGCCTACAAAGCAAAGACCAGAGTAGGGAGTGGCCCTTGGTGGCCCTAGCTGTGCAGTGGAGGGAGGGGGGATGCAGCTGAGCCTGGGAAGAGCAGAGTCTCCTCCAGCATCAGCCCTCTCCTTCCCAAGCCTGGAGATGGAGTGAGCAGTGACGTCTAGCGACGGGACTCTGATGCCACAGTCGCTCTGGGGGGTGACCGGCATCCGGGACCGTCGGGTACCAATGGCACTCCAGGAAGGAAGCTGTTCTGGCTTACATCAGGATATACAAGGACATTTGGATTGAAGGTGAACGATGGGGATTCTCGTGGTATGAATATATTGTGATATGAGCGCAGCGTAGTAGGCATTAGGACCAGCCCTCTGCAGGGCTCCAAGCCCCCACCAGTAGGGGTGAATTTCCAGCGCGTGGACAGGACCCCTATCCTTTCTCTCTCACCTCCGTGCTCTCAGACTTATCATCTGTCCTGGGGCCACGAGGGCTGGCCTCAATATATCCTTTACTTATGCTTTTGTCCATTTCCAAAAGAAGGCTAGTTCCCCACCCCCAGCCACACCTCAGCCCCCAGGCCCCAGGCATAGCCTGACTCTGGCTCTCCCCTATGGCAATACCCCCCCTTGCCCCCCAGCTCCTGAAATGTCTTCTCCCAGGAAAATTATCTCACCCTCAGCCTCCTCTGAATGTCTTTCAGGCATTCACCCTCCCTCCCTGGAGGGCTGAGCTCCTGCCTCTGACGTTACTGTTACTGTAGTTCTGGGATACTTCCATGCCCCGCGCTCTTGGCCCCATGACATTCTCTCAACCCTCTGCCACACACTGTGTGAACCCATACCCGTGAATTTGTCACCCCACTAACCAAGTGTCTCCGCCATCTTTAACCCCACCTCACTTCCTGTTCTCTCCCTTGTCTCTGAACGTCATTGGGACCAGCAATCCATTGAGTCTCCAGAGCTCTGCCCTTAGACCCCTTCTCTCCTCTTCTCATCATCTAAGTACCAACGGTGCTCCAAATTATACACCCAGTCTGTTCCCTCCTCCGAACTCCAGATCTGCACCTCCAACTCCACATCCCACCTCCAGCTGCATAACCAGTAGTTATCTCAAGCTCACCGGGTCTCAGATCGAACTCCTACCTGCCCCCTGCATGCTTCCCATAACCTTCAAGGGCGACCCCCTCCCTCCATTGCATAGACCAAAAAGTAGGGATTCATCCTCGACTGCTTTCTCAAATCCCACAGCAAGTCTGCTGGGGAGTCCTATCAGCTCTGCCTTGAACTACATCCAGAACTTGACTGGTTCTCACCACCACCCAGGATTATAGCATCCCAAGTGGTCCCTGTCCTCCCAAAGTTGGTTGGAGACTCCTTGCCCTCATCGCTGGTCCTGTGCACGTGCTGGAAATTCACCCCTACTGATGGGGGCTAGGACCCCTGCAGAGGGCTGGACCCTGTGCCGCTGCTCTCAAACCTTGTCCCCACCCTGCACCTGCCAACACATCTGTCTGGTTTCTCCCTTCGTGAGATTCTCAAAGGCAGGCCTGGATCTTTTTTTGTCCCTGAGGCTCGATGCTGCCTCTGCCCTCCCATTCTGTGATTTAAAGTTGCTAATGGCAGGGCCCCTGGGTGGTTCAGTCGGTTAGGTGGCTGCCTTGGGCTCAGGTCATGATCCCAGGGTTCTGGGATTGAGTCCCGAATGAGGCGGGGGGGTCCCTTGCTCAGCGGGGAGCCTGCTTCTCTCTCTGCCTGCCATTCCCCCTGCTTGTGATCTCTCTCTCCCTCTGACAAATAAACAAATAAAATCTTTGGGAAAAAAAAAGTTGCTAAGGGGTTAAAATGAGATTTCTGATTAGATTGCCTACGGCCGGAGATCCAGGAATGTCAGAATCCCAGCACGGAGGTGGTGAGGCTTCCCTTCCTGACCCAGAAATGAAGCTTCGTGGCCCAAGATGGCAGAGCCCTCCTTCCAGCCCCACACTGCCTCCTTCTGGACCATTCTGTGAACACAGGATAATGTCTCTCATTTGAGCTACTCCATGGTGGGGGATCCTTGTCACAGCAGCTTGGCTGTGATGAATGTCCCAGATAATAAGGCCAGAGCCCTGACTACCACGCAGGTTCTGGGTCAACCATCCCAGCTGACCCTAGCCTCCTACCCACAGTCATCGAGGCACCAGACATGTGACCCCCTAGATCGGTCCAAATACAAAAGGCATTAAGAGGGACCAAGGGATGCATCACTTGATGATAAGAAGATCCCTCCAGAAATTTGCAAAACGTATAAACTTACATGAGGATGAAACAAAGCTTCAAAATATGTAAAAGTTTGAAAACGAATGAACTAATGAACAGGGAGTAGGTCAGGTACCCAGAGAAGGACAGAGGGCAGAAACCAGAATTGCATGAGGCCTTCTCGTGAGAGAATCCGAGGTCCACCACCTCCAACAGGAGAGTCTCCAAACCCCACAGCTGATGCTCTCAGCCGCGACCTGGCCGCCGGCTGCCGCCACCAATTCCCGTGATGACACAAGAAATCATGGACCATTTGCAGAGAAATGTTTTATTCTCTCCACTCTGCTCCAGGGTACCCCTCCCCCTTTCGAACTGGAGGACGCCCAGCGGGGGCGGGGGAACGACGGTAGGCAAGCCCGCTACTTGGCAGAATCTTTCTCAGCCAGACATCGTGGACGCTTAGACGCAAATGGGACATTCATACCATATTAGTCGCTCAAGTTATGGTTCCGAAAGAAGACAGTTACTTTGCACGGACGGCAGAAATACTCCCTCGTTACCCCGACTCTCCTAAATGGCCCCAGATTTCATTCTTGAGTTTGTTAACAACGCTTTCTACTTATTCGAGGATAAATCAGTGAAACCTGCCACGGTCTGGCGACTTTTAAGAAAAGTCTCCCAACGCTCCCCAAATTTCCTGCATGAGACTCAGGGACCTAATTTCAGGATCTTAGTCTCAGTGGAGGGAGCGAGACAGGAAGGGGTTCAGGAGGAGCTGGACAGAAGGACACGGAGCAGAGGTCTGGAGATCTCTAGGACCGCTGGGCATCGCCCTTCCTGGGGGCTTTCTCGCTGAACTCGCCCAGATCTGTGGGAGAGAAAGAGGCGAATTTGGAATGGTTAAGCTCACCGCCACCATCCAAACCAGCCCAGGCTGGGAGCGAAACCGGAGAGGAAGACAGCTTTGGTTCGTCCAATGTCCAATTCCATTTCCTGTTCTCTCTCCCTCTTTCCTTCTCTCTCTCCCTCCCTTCCTCTGCATCTACCCACACATTTCTCTTTTCTACCCCATTTAAGATGGCACGTGGTGGAGATGGGCGTTTTCAAGAGCCGGAGGGTAGCTAAGGTTGGTGTGTGTCCCTCCAACACTGGCTGATGTCCAGTCCGTGCTTTCCAGATGGGTTAGTGGCGCTGGAATGAAAGCCTGGTGTTCGTTTCCAAAAACAGGGTTAAGCTGAAGGACAGGGAATTGGGGTAAGGATGCAGCCGGAGGAAGGCGAGCGAAGCGGACTGAGGTCACGGCTGGGTGGGAAGCCTGCCTTGGGTCGTTCGATTTGCGCCTTCAGCACGTTTTCCAGGCACCTACTACGCCTCATTCCTTGTGTGTAGGCAGCGAGCCAGGCGTAGAAGGTCCCTAACACGTGCAGCTTGGACTTTCCGGAGCAGACAGACAACGAGCGGAGCACAGGATGCAGAGAAGACGCACTTGCGGACAGACGTCAGGGCGAGAATTAGGACGACAAGAACAGAGGAACAGGAGGTTGGTGCCAGGGAAATGGTCAGGGGTAGCAGTGCCCGAGCCGGCTAAATGATTTCTGGATGACGCAAAGGATCTCGCCGAGCAAAGCTCTAGAAACAGAACATTCTAGACTAAGGCATCAGCTGAGTCAAGGGGACCCGGTGTTCTAAGAAAGCCAGAATTGAGAACGGGAGCAGAAGAACGTGCTTGAGCATGAGTCGAGACAGGCACGGGGTCCAGAGAGAGTTCCAAGGCTGCAAATAAAGACGGAGGTCGGAGCTGGGAGTGAGGCTGTGTGGTTGGTGTTGCAGCTAAAGCCCGGGGGGCTGATAGTCGGGAGGTCAAGGTCTGGGAGTGGGGTCATCACGGCAGTGCCAGGTTGTGGGGAAACGTCTGGGACTGGCTGGGAAGCACGTGTTGGGCCCAGAGGCGGGTGCGAGGCGGAGGGGTAGAGCGGAAAGGAGCCGTCAAGGCCAGCATGGGCGTTGAGTCAGCCCTCGAGGGCGAGGACGCTCCTGTCCCCGCTTCTGTCTGTGTCCTCCACGTTTCCCGTGCTCACCCGCAGTCTCTGGCTTGGCAGAGGTCTCCCTCAGGCTCCTCTTGGAGGCCCGCCGAGGGCGGGGGTGGGGGAGCCCATCTGGGAACGAAGCCGAATGGCAGGCTTGGTGCTTTGTACCACGCACCGTGGCCGTAGTTCCCTTGTTCCCTTGGCATTGGTGGCACCTAGGGGTTCTCATCCTGGGTCATTCTGCACTCCCCCCCCGCCCCGATATCTGGTGACGTGCAGGGACATCTGTCATTGTCACAACTCGGAGATGCTAAGGTCACCTAGTGGGTGGAGGCCAGGGAACGGCTAATCACCCCGCACAAGGATGGCCCACAGCAGAGAGATGGGCACCCGTGAGTGCCTGGGGGACACACCACCCTGGACACGCTTGGTGGCCTGGTAGGCGGCAACAATGGGAAGATTTGGGTCAGGACCGAGGCTGCATTCCCGGCGCGCCCACCAGTGGTCGCTCTCTGCACCCCTGCGCACCCCGTGATTCTTTCCCTCGAGATGTGAACGGGAAGAAGGGGGAGTCTCAGACATGTCCCGTGGCCGGGAATTGCCTTTCCCCAAGTCCCCCGAGCAGCAGTGGCAGGCGGAGACGAAGCCCGCACTCACTTACCAAGGGCCTTCCACAGGTCTAGGACCTCCAGGGCTGTCTTCTCCTTCCCGCCGCGGTCCGCCCTCTGGGGAAGGTGGAGCACTGGGCAGGGGAGGGGAGGGGAGAGCTGGGCCTGTGGTCTGGGACACGGCAGCAGTAACACAGGGAACCCAGCAACCCGCACGCACTGCTCCCCTTGAGGAGCACCACCGCCAGACCCATGGGACCGCCAGCCTTCCGGCCGGCCGGCAAGAAGGCTGTGGCCCTGAGATTCGCATCCGTCGCCCAGCATCACCCACTGCTAAGCCGAGCCCGCCTACATCTGGGCACGAACCCCAGGTCCTCGTTGCTTGGCCACGTGGTCCCGGGGGCCTGGGTTTCCTTGGACCATCAGTGGTCCCCGCCCTGAGCATCACAGGGACTAGGGCTTTAATGGTCCCTCGGCCTCGCACAGTGAACACGCCCTCGGGGGGAACGGGGAGCCCAGGACAGAGGGGCCCAGAAGAGGGGGGCGTGGCCGCTGAGTGTCACCTGGTCCCCCTCTGCACCGGGAGTTGTTCTGACCCCCTGTGCCGCAGGGGGCTCATTGGCGCTGGGAGCGGGCGCACTCACCGGGACCCAGCAGGTAGCCCACGCTGTTGAGGGTCCAGCCTCCTCGTCCCTGGACAGAGACCGAGAGATGGAGACTCAGGCAGGCGGGAAGGGCGGTGAGCACCCCACGGGCCTGGGGTCACGGGGCCGGCTGCCACTTTCCCGCGGGCCTGACGAGTGGGTTCACTTAATGCACATTTCAGCAGTGAGGAAAGCAAAGTCTTCCTTTAATGTAGCAGCTCAGCATGAAGAGGGAGCTTTGAAGACCACTTACACATGGTTGCAGACCTGTCCCTCCCTCTCTCTCCCTCTCTCCCTCTCTCTCCCTCTCTCTCTCTCTCTCCCTCTCTCCCTCTCCCTCTCTCTCTCTCCCTCTCTCCCTCTTTTCCCCTCTCTCTCTCTCTCTCTCTCTCTCACACACACACACACACACACACACACACACACACGGTGCAAACCCAGCCACAGCGCCAGACGGCTTCAGGCAAGTGGCTGTGTTCCCTTGACAATTACAGCCGCTAACATGCACCGTGCATTTTCCGCGTGCCAGCGTCCCCTTCCAAGAGGACTTAGATGAAAGGTCTCGTCTCAAACACGATGAAAGTTTTCAAGACGGCAACAGTAGACCGCAAAACCCAGAGGAGGTGCCTTCTGGGCATGCGACCCTGCAGGGGGGTCAGATCCCGGCCCGGGGGACGGCCCGGCCCCTGCTCTGGTCCCGGCGAGCTCCAAGAAACTTACAGGGCCGGCAGAGGACCCCGGCACCAAAGCAGGTAGCTGGACCCAAACCTGGGGCGGCCTGAGTGCCCAGCCCGGGTGTTCAGGGTCTGGTAATGGGCCAGCTAATGCACCTGGCCTGGGGGAACTCAGTTAACCCTTGTGGCACTGTGATTTTACGAAGAACTCAGAGGGACAGACAGAGAGATAAATGGGCAACTTGCCAGGAGTCATGCAACTAAAAAGTGACGGAACCAAATTCGGCCGGGTCTCCACAGCCCATGCTCCCAGCCGGAGGCTCCCTGAATGTGGGCCTGTGGCCAGCGACATCAGCCAGGGCTTGGCAGAAACCCTAGGGGCATGGCCCCGTCCTTGGTGACCAAACAGCTTAGAATGACCAGGAGCTCACCAAAGGCATCTTCTTGGACCTTGGGCAACGCTGATCTAATCCTTCGGGCATTTTTGCATCCTGACCCCCGTGTCTGGTGTCCCACCCCATGCCCGGGGCCAAGGCGCCCCACAGCCCATGGCTCCTGGCTCAGGAAGGAGCATCAGGAAGCTCTTCTAGGAGGGCAGGGACTGGGCACGCCGCAGGTGGGGAGGAAGCCGGAGGTCTCACCTGGCGGACGGGCACAGAGACGGGAGACTCCGCCAGGCTGAGCAGGACGGCGAGAAGCAGGACCAGACGGACAGGGGGAGCCATCGGGGGGCCGGCAGGGTGGGCGCTGGGAGCTACGGGATGCTGCCAACAGAGGGTGGTGAGGGTGTTCCTGTGTTTCTAGTGTCATTAGGTGTAACTGCTCTACAGAGGAACGGGAAGCAGTGAACACACTCGGGACAAATCCAGACACACACGTGCAGCCCAGAGTCCCGCGCCGTCGTCACGGCCGTAAGCATAGCCACGACCGGCAAACATCTCCTTGCAACTGTCTGGGCACAATGACTTACCGTGGATATCGGGAAAGGGTCTCCTCAGTAAGTTGGGGTGACATCAGTCACCTCGTCTACTTATGACAAAAGCTCCTTTCTCATCGCACTGAGGGCTCGTAGGACCTACTCTTTCTAGGCAGCTTGTAAAGACACATAGCAGCGTCCCCTACGGCCACCAGGCCGTCCCTCGTGTCCCCAGCACGCCCGCATCTCACAGCCGGGTGCCCGGGCCAGCCCTGCCTCTGCTCAACCCCCCTCCGATCTTGTTCCCTGCGTGGCTGCTGTTTCCAGATTCCACCCCGGAGTGAGATCACGCAGGATCCGTCTTCCTCTGTCCGACCTGTAACGAACTGTAAGGTGCACCATATTCTAGCGCAGAACAGAGACTAACGCGTGGGTCCTCCCGCCTCAAATACGTGGCGGAAAAGTAAAACAGACACTTGTGAGTTCATGGCCGGTTTTGTGGCGCTCCACTCTGGGACACGTCTATCTAAGCAAAGCGGCAGCGCTGGTTGAGGGACAGCCGCGAAGGAAGCGGGTGAGCGACGGGACACCGCAGGTGAAACGCGGCCCCCCAGAACCCCGGGAGCAGCGGGGACGCAGGCTCAAGGTTCGCAGGCGCATTTGCCCCGCCGTCCTTCGGCCCGCGCCTGCCCTGCCTTCCCCATCAGCATGTCCGGATTCTCCGAGTGCCCCCCTCCCCCTTGCTCGCCCTCCCCACTGGGCCCTGCTCTCACCTCACTGGAGTCCGCTGCTCTCCGGGGCTCTCTGGGGCCCCAGCGCCTGACTGTGGCTTTTATGCCTCCCGAGGAGGAAGGCGGCGAGTCGGGAAGTGAGGAGGGAGGGAGGGTGTGCGCAATTGGGGGGACGATGGGAGAGCGTGCCAAGGGTGGAGGTGGGCATGAGGCTTTGTGCACGGAAGGGCTTTCATAAGCTGGCCTGTGAGGTCAGGAAGAGGACGCTGCCCCGGGGAAAGGTTTCTCTGCTTCACCTCCGTTTCCCCTGCAGGCGCTCAGCTCTGAGACGCACGGGTTGCCCTTCCTCCTGCCTTTCAGCGCCCCCTCTTCAGGACCCAGCCTGAGTCTGTGTACCCCGCTTCCATCTGCGCCCCTTCCTCTCCGGCCCCGCAGTGCTGGGGTCTCTGCGCACCTTCAGGGCTCTTGCTGCGTCCCCTGCTTCCGTCCTGCACGACGCACCTGCTCGGGTGTTTCCTAGCTCTCCGGGCATCTCCCCCTCCCCGGGAACGGGCTCAGCGAGAGGCGGCAAGGCTTCTCGCTCCTCATGAGCCCAGAGGTGCTCCCCCAGAGCGGCTCTGCTCCTCCGGGCACATGTGGCCATGCCTGAAGACGTCTTGGCCCATCACGACTTGGGGGCGCTTCTGGTCTCCGGGGGGAGGAGGCCAGGGATGCCGCCCCCAAAGAATGGTCCAGCCCCAGACGTCCAGAGCCCCGAGGCTGCAAAACCGTGCCAGAGTGCCTGGAATGGCACCTGGCACTCAGTTAGGATCTGTGGGGTGGACAAAAGCCTGTGTGTGTGTGATCTCCCACTGTTTCTGGTTTTTAATTGATCCGTGTCTTTGTTTCTCTCCCTCTTGGCCCCAGGGATGAGTTTTCCAGAGGAAGGAACCCCAGAATCAAGGAGGGGCTCGTATGCCTGCACTTTGCTTCCTAAAAGTCCTGGTTCTCACCAGGCATGGGGTGGGGTGGGGGGAGGTCCCCATCTCTACCAGGCAGAGCCCGGGCCCGGGCCTCATCTGTACCTTTGTGCCATCGCCACATCTCTCCCCCACCCCCGCAGAAGGGAGCTGTCTCATCTCAATTATAGAACGAAAGCCCTGGGACAGGGGTCGAGTGAGAGCAAGACACAGGACCATGAGGATCCTTGCTTGGTCCCACCTTCATTTCCGGGCATCCGTCATTTCTCCTCTGGAGGAGAAAGGAGGCAGAAAGTGACAGGAAGGTGTAAATGGCTTTGCTGGGAAAGATCATGAAGGATGAGGGGTGGTGCTCACAGGGACGGAGGGACGGGCAGACGAGGCTGGAAGCCCAGAGATGGTTACCTGGAGACTGCTGGAGAATCAGAGCAGAGAGCATCACCAGCCCTCGCTTCCTTACTTAACCCATCCTGGAAAAGTAAATGAAGGGAACCCAACCACATGCCCCCCCCCAAAATGTGTGCAAGAAATGCCGCTTTCTTTGCATTTCTGTGGCTGAGCCCGTTGTCTGTCTTGAGCCCGCGTGGCTCTTTGTAGTTCGGAGCGTGGACATGAAGACCCCTTCCCTAGTGCACACTGCAGTTCCCATCCTGTGTTTACTTGGTCCCCCGGGTGAGGAGTCTGCTGGGTTTTCGCCACGTTTCAGCCAGAGTTCTTGTATGTGTTCCAGTGTTATGGGGACAGTCATCCACTCCTGCCCTGACGGAGATGGCAGGAGACTGAGGAAGCTCACCCTTCCTCCTTCCAAAGATAGGTTTCCAGAGCCTGAACATGCTGTCTGCAAGCCAGTGTGCTGAAGACCCAATTATTCTGGTCACTGAGAGCAGGGAAGATATTTGTTGGGGCTTCTGGGGAAGAAAAAGTTCTTCCTTTTTAAACGTTTTACCTTGCAGTCATCTTAGACTTAAAGGAAAATTGTCCAAATAGTTCCCCAGTACTCAGATTCTCTCAAGGTGTACATTTTCTGCACTGGACGTCCTGATCCCACGCCCACCTCTCTCCTCTGCACAGACATACATACAAGCATTCTGAACTGTTCCAGAGTAAGTTGCAAACTTTACACCCCCTCGCCCCTAAAGTCTTCCTAAAACCAAGGGCAGTCTCTAACGTGAGCACAGTAAGACTATCACCAGTGTAACATGGAGGCCATCCTCATAAACCACAGACCTTAAAATTTCACCCACTGTCCCAATAGCAATTGTCCTTTTATAGCGAAACAAAACAAACAAAACAAAACCCCAAAAGAAACACCCCCACTCGATGCCTCTTCAGTGTCCTTTACAACTAGAAGATTGTCTCTACCTTCTCTTTCGCAACCTCGACGTTTTCCTTGGCATTTTTATGAGAGGACCAGTGAGCTGCTCTGTGGCACGCTTCTCCTTCTGGGTCCGTCTTTCTCGTGATCAGATGCGGGCTACGCGTGTTGGGCAGGAAAGCCACAGAAGTGATCAGCGTGGTGGCATATAAATTCCATCCTTGTCCTCCGTGCGTCCCATCCCAGGGACTCAGCACATCAGCTCTCCGTGGGGTCTCCGTGGGGTCAACTTACTGCCTGATTAAGGGGGCGTTGGCCAGATGTCCACACAGCAAAGTTAATTTTGTCCCTCCATTATTGGGGTCTTTGGGGAGATACTTTGAGACGACGTAGGTGTAGTTCCTTCAGTGTTTTGAAAGAGTTTCTGGAAGCGCATCTCTGCATAGACATGCATCGTCACCACGCCACTGCCACGCCACTGCCACGCCACTGCCACGCCACCGGGAGAGGGAGCGAAATGCAGGACTGACAATGAAGCACAGAAAGCAGGATGGGAAGACGGGGTAGCCCTGAGCCATGGAGTTGCATAGATCTGAAAGCTCACCCCGTTCCCGCACTTCCAACTATCTGCTCCTACCAAGCAGAGTGTCACTAGGCCACCTTGCGTTGGAGGTTAAAAGAACAGCTTCATGGATGTGTACCAGATGTACAAAGGTCTGCGTGTTCGGATGAGCTGGGACTCAGGCAATCGCCCGTAGCACCATCACCAAATTCCAGGTAACAGAGTTACCCAGCACCTCCCGGAGTCTCCTGGGTCCCTTTGTATAGGGTGTGTGTGTGTGTGTGTGTGTGTGTGTGTGTGTAAGAACACGTGACATGACATCTGTCCCCTTAACGAGTCCTGACGGGGGCAAGGCTGTGGTACAGCGGGTCTGCAGAACACAGGGTCTGGCACAACCCGGTGTCTTCCCCGACTGCGAGCGTGTGGACTAGATGAACTGGAGAGTTCGCCAACACGTGGAAACGAGACAGCAGCCAACGGGGCAGAGAAGAAATTGAAAGAGAAATCAGAAAATGTCTTGAGTTAGGCTAGGTGAGCCGATTTCTAGAACTTGCACCGACCGTTTCCTGAGAGACCACACCTCCCTCCGCCCTTCTGTCCCCAGTTGTCACTGCGTGGGTTAGGTGCCAAAGGCAGCTTGTCCCCCGTGCTCGCATCTGAAGGGGGGCAGAACGCGGGCTTTGGTGACGACAAGCTGCAGGCACTTGAAAGAGAGCAAATGCAGGGAGCGGTGTTCCCTGCCCGCACTCTCCACACTCATTCTGCTTCTGCTGGGAACACCCACTAGCATCTAAAGGAAACGTTTGCCCACCCCATCTGTTTTCCACCAAGTACTTGAAGAAATGAGGGAGGACGATTCAGCCTGCCCCCAACTAATAACATATTTGTGTCTAAAGGATGAGGCTGTAAACTGAGAGACAGAGTTGAGAAAAAATAGAGAATTGGAAATGATAGATAGTAGAGATAATTGATAGATAAGTATAATAGATAGAAGGATGGATGGAAGATGATTGACAGATGATAAAGATAATTGATAGATAGAATAGAAAAATAGGTAGGTAGGTAGGTAGATAGATATGAAAGATAATTGAAAGTTATCTAGCTAAGTAACAATACAGGGCCTTAAGTGTAACTGCCTCACAGAGTTTTGTAAAGATTAAGTGCCTTAATATCTAAAGCCCTTAGGGGGTGCCTGGGTGGCTCAGTGGGTTAAGCCTCTGCTTTCTGCTCAGGTCATGATCTCAGGGTCCTGGGATCAAGCCCCGCATCGGGCTCTCTGCTCAGCAGGGAGCCTGCTTCCCCCTCTCTCTCTGCCTGCCTCTCTGCCTACTTGTGATCTCTGTCTGTCAAATAAATACATAAAATCTTCAAAAAATATATTTAAAGTCCTTAGGATAGCGCCTGCTATTTAGGGAACACTCAGACATGGGAGCTATGGCTAGATAGCTACACAGTTAGATACCTACAGGGGTGGATGGACGGATGGACAGATAAGGCAGACAGAGACACAGAGGGCCAGAGAGGATATTTGCATCTAAGATCAGATTCATGCTCCTCTTCAGAGTTCAGGGAATGGAACAAGCGTCTGCAGAGCAATGCCGAATGGATGATAAAAGGGACAGCTTCTGCATCCGACCTTCACTCCACGCCAGGGACTGTGCTGGTATCTTTATATGGATCATTTAATCTGAGAAACGGCCCTATAAAATAGGTACTACAGGATCTCATTTTAGAGGGGAAATGTAGGTTCTGAGAGTTGAAGTAACATGCCCTGGAGTCACACATGTCCCAGGGCACCAGGGAAAGCTTCGACCTCACACTGGCTGGGTCTTTGCCTGGCACCCCTTACCACCCCACTATCAGGCATTCAATCTTAGGAAGCAGGCAATGAGCATTGCAGAACATAAATATTCCTACACATAGCTGATCAATCCTTCTTTTCTAAATTCATTTTTGAGAGAGAGAGAGAGAGAGAGAGCGAGTGCACAAGCAGGGGGGAGGGGCAGAGGGAGAGAATCTCAAGCAGACTCCACGCCGAATGGGGAACCTGATGAGGGGTTCAATCCCACGACCCTGCGATCATGACCTGAGCTGAAATCAAGAGTCGGACGCTCAACTGACCAAACCACCCAAGCACTCCATGTCTGACTCATTCTTTAGTCTCAAATCCTAGAAGGAAGGTTACTCAGTCAAAAGTTATACACGTTTTGAAATTGTCTTTC